CATTAGAATAGCATTAGCCTAACGACTGTTAATTAAAGGAGAGTCTAGTGACATTATATTATCACGGTACGACCGTACACCTCTCGCAACTAGGCTGAATTTTGAAGTATAGCGTAGCTAGCGCCCACTTAGACCTATTTTAATTATATTTATATATATTAAGAGTGTATCTTTAGTGGAAGTAATATAACACTTCTAGCGTTAAGGTTCTTGTTAGTTCTAATGAGTCTCTGTAGCCTTAGTAGCTATAAAACTACTAAGATCTATGGGACTTGTTACGTAGTCCTAGTAAGCCTTAGTGTATAGAGTATACTAAGGCTAAGTAGGATCTGTAGGACTCGTTACGTGACTCCTTTTCTTGCCTTCACTTAGTTTACTACCTTAACTATTACGGCGGTAGAATACTCTTCTATTCCCAAACCAGTATCGTAATATATACGTAGATTTAATAGTTTACTATATACTTATTCTTGTTATCTTAGTATTGTACTCTCATCAATTCCTCTCCACATGCTGTTCAATCCGCACCTCCCCGTTCTTCTCTTCATCCAGCACCTCCCCCAACTTCCCCTCACTCCGTGCGCCTCCATCCGCCAAATCATCTCCAGTAGGATACGCAACTCTTCGGACCGTATACCACGGCCGCTGAAACAGCTCATCCAGGCTCTCAAGCGAGCGCCCTGCCGTCTCTGGTAGCGCAAAGTAAACGTATACCAACGACATGCAGCAGATGCTCGCGAAGAAGGCGAACGCACCATATCGATCCGTAGCAGCGAGCAGACTCGGCATAGCGCGTGAGCAACCAAAGTAGAACGCCCAGTGAAACGCCATGAGGATAGAAACGTTGAGCGAGCGGATACGAACAGGAAATACTTCCGCAGAAACAAGATACGGAATAGAGAACCAACCAATCGACCACGCCACAGCGTGAATAAAGATAGCCACGATACTTGCTTTACTCGCCGCCGTAGCGCTCGCACTCGCCTCGATTTCCACAGCCGACATTCCATTCGTGACACCGAGGTACGTGCCCACAAACGTGAGAGTCAAGATTTGTAGCGTAATACCGAGCATAAGCGATCGTCTACGCCCAATAAAATCGATGACGAAGATGGAGAAAACGAGTACAGACACGAATTTCACAATGCCGTAGAGACCTGTGGCAAGGAACCGCGCTTCCTCGCCCTCAATACCCAAGTATCCGAAGATCGAGGGCGAATACTGCGTTATTGCGTTTGCGCCGGACCACTGGCCGAACATGTGACACAGGAACATGAGGACGAAGCGGCGGCGGTACTCGGTTACTGAAAAGGTTTCTTTGAACAAGTCCCAGACTGTGGCGCCGCTTACGGCTTCGATTTCGAGGTTGAGCTGGTGCTCGATGCCGGCGAACTCGGCGACGATGTAGGGGTGGTCGGCGGGGAGGTTGCGGAAGCGGCAGAGGACTTGGAGGGCTTCTGTACGTTTGGATTTGGAGAGGAGGAAGCGGGGGGACTCGGGGGTGAAGAGGATGCCGATACCCCAGATTACGGCGGGGGCGAGCTGCAGGCCGGTGGGGAGTTGCCATTGGAGGCGCGCGCCGGCATGGTATTTCGTGATGCCGTAGTTGAAGAAGAAGCCGAAGACGACGCCGAGTTGTTGGCAGCAGGCGTATTGGAGGGTGAGTAGGCCACGGATGCTTCGGGGGGCGATCTGAAAGTCTGGAATTAGTATTTTGCAGTTGCAGCCTGTACACGCTGATTACTCACCTCAGTAAGGTAGATTGAAGGCAGAACGGTCGTAGTACCGATTCCGATACCAGTAACAAAACGGGTAGCGTACAAGGCTGACAAGCTACCGTTTGAAAAAGTCTGGCCCAGGATTCCGGCAATGTAGACAACCGTAAAGACCAACATGGTCCACTTTCGTCCCCATAGCTGCACGAGATTGATGCAAGCTAGACACCCAAAGACGGCACCCGCTGTAGCGATGGAGACGATCCATCCCTTAGTGTCTGGCAGCACAAAAGGTTAGTCCAGATGATACAAAAGTAGTTTCAACAAATGCTTCTTACTGGCATATTCAGCGTCGGTTTCGTGAATGACTCCGAACTCGGTCTTGAATTTCTTTTGCACAACAATCGATGCTATATTGCCTAGATCAAAGATTAGAATCCCATCTACAAGGAGGCAGATGCAAGCATACCTTCATCAAATCCCTTTGCCACACCCGAAAAACTCCACACAGCCGTGCAAAAGAAAAGCCAGACGTTGAATATCTCTGGCGGACACGCCTTGATAGCCTTGACTGTATCTTTAAGAAGACTTGACTTGGCCATAATATCGACGATAAAGTCCAGCAGTGCTGGTCAACACAAAGAGAGAGCACGAGACGCGTAGAATAAATAGCGTTGTTTAACTATTCCTTGCGAGGACACAACTGCCCTTCTTCTAGCCCAACCCATGTATGAATCGCTAGCTGGCGAGCCTCGACACGAAGACGTTTGCATGCTGGGTAGGTTTGTGCGGAGACCCCGCATTCGGTACGGGACCCGATGCTAGGTCTTTCACCCACCGAAGCGCCCGAAGCAAGTCGTCTCATGGCTTCAACTGCGTTCGGACACGGACCTTACTGACTCGCTGGGTGTTCCGAATGCCCGAGACAGAGACTTGAGTGTTGTGGTGAGATCACTGGCTGTCGAAATGTCGAAATGGGTTCTCAGAGCTGGGGCTCGCACGGTGCCTTGCCAAACATCATGATCGAATGGAAGCGGTCTAGGATTAGCGGTGCGTCTTCAGGCCTCGAAATGATAGAACGCGATTGTAAGAGCATCCTCAAAAAGGAGGAATGTGCAATCGATATGAAGACGCGTGAAATAGGTATCCAAGTATTGCTCAGCTTCATGCGATGGTGGCTGGGAATCTGGAGTCGGATATTTCCTGTACAATCTACACCAACTGGCTAGCTGGACTCTGATGAAATCACGACGCTACTGCCATCTTTTTTCAGGTAAGATGGTTGAAAGATCCCCTAAGATCGCTACCTTCCCCGACATCATGCCCTCTCCTCTGAGTACCATGAGAGGTTCAAGCCGGCGCGGAATAGGTTGTGAAAGCAGTCAATATCTTATTCAAGCTGGTTTCCCTTTGTTTCAACTGGGCCATGAAGCTCCAGGAAGACTGTTCTCCGTTCCCGGAATCGACCAAGGTACAAGGAACAACTCCCTGGTGAAGTTGGTGAAGTTGGCGTAAATCGGTGGAACTCGGCATCGGATCTTGTACAGTTTAACTTATTGATATTTCGGCAGCTGAAGCGCGGTCAGATGAGTCGGAGATTATGAGTTCAATGCGGAGAAAAGTGTGGGGAATCTGGGGGGTACGTAGCACGATGGGTGGCAGGCATGCTCGGCCCCACTCCGATGGCTTTTCCTGATGGGATTGGAATATTCATCAGACCTCAGCGGCTGTGCCGTTATTGGATCGGCTGGCCCCCGAAAGAGCATACGACTAGCGAGTCACATCTGGTAAACTTCACAGCGCATGCCGTGTTCCAACGAGAGGATAGATATTGTGGGATATCTCATGAACCTTCATAAGACATAACCACACAACATGAACTTCTATCCACCGCCACCCACAATAACCGCATCCCTATACGTTCGTGTCCCGGATGTGATCAGATGCAAGGATCGCGATTCGGAATGGCGAGGCGGTTTCAGTCGGGCTTTTCAGAATATCTTTCTTGAAGGTCCAGTTTACACCTCTTCAGGCCACCTTTATGTCGTAGACATCCCGTACGGACGGATACTCAGTATCTCGCCCACAAAAGAGGTGACGGTCGCGGCCGAGTGGGACGGTGAGCCAAATGGTCTGGCCGTAGACCCTGAAGGCAAAATCGCGATTGCAGACTACAAACAGGTATCTTGCAGGAGCATGTAGCAAAACCAGATATCGGCTGAACCTGGCTATAGGGCATCTTGACGTTTGATCCACCGACAGGCAAAATATCACCACGGCTCTCGCGTCGGAACCTAGAGCGCTTCAAAGGTCCTAATGATCTGGTATTCAGTTCCAAGGGCGAACTGTACTTCACGGATCAGGGCCAGACCGGACTGACAGACCCCACTGGTAAAGTGTATCGTCTATCTCCCAATGGTAAACTCGATACACTCGTTGAAAATGGTGTCAGTCCCAACGGTCTCGTGCTGTCGCCTGACGAAAAGTTCCTCTTCGTCGCCATGACTCGCGCGAACGCGGTTTGGCGGCTCCCACTTCATGCAGATGGAACAACGAGCAAAGCAGGCCTTTTCTTCCAGAGTTTCGGCACTGTAGGACCGGATGGGTTGGCGATGGATGAGGAAGGGAGCTTGTTTGTGTGCCATCCAAGTTTGGGGTCTGTTTTCGTTGTTAATGCGGATGGAACACCAAAGGCAAGGATCGTGTCGGGTACGGAAGGTATAAATCTGACAAATTGTTGTTTCGGTGGCAAAGACGGTAAGACGCTGTTCATCACTGATAGCTTAGAGGGAAACGTGCAATGTGTAGAGTGGCATTGCAAAGGCGCTACACCAATACCTACTGTTGTATCAAAGATTAGTGGTGAGGCATAGTTTTACAAGAAGCAAACAGTTAAAAAGAGAAATCATAAAACAGTGTCTTCCCAAGTGGATCAGTCGGATGGTGTCGGAATGTCGGTCTTTGAGTATCGCAGAGGGGTTCATCGTGACGATTGGTATCAAGCACAGGCGGTACTACAATATCCATCAAAGTCGTGCATGTGTGTACGAAAAGCTGGGTCGATATTCTCATGCTACATACTAAGTCAATGGTAAGAAATAGTCGATGGATTGTCTGGGAGTGACTGGAAATGCATGGCCAGGTGTGGCTGGGCAGTGTGGCTTGGCGTCAGCGCTGCGTGCGCTCTGTGTGGCTGGTGGACCCTGCATGGCCGCTTAATGTTGCCGGATGACGTCGCGCAACGCGTTCTTGCTGGCGAAACAGTGCATGGCAGGCCAGGTGCAGCCCGACACTGTCCACCACAGCCTCACAGCACAACGCCATGAGACATACACGCCACTATGGCCCATCTCTTGCGCGGAAAGCAAGCTGGAATCAGCAACGATCTCTCTCAGGGCCTCAGCCCTGATCTTTTTGTGCTTGACCATGTATGCCCACGCTGCCGCAACCCCCACCTCTGCCATAGGCCCCTCCTCCAACGCGTGCAAACTAACCACATGTGAAGATCCGCAACTATGGCATAAACTCCAAAATCACCCAGCTCGCATACGACCCTGTCCAGTCTCTCATCGCCGTCGGAACAAGCGAGAGCAAATATGGCCCCGGTCAAATTTATGTATTCGGCCAGAAGCGAGTCGAGGTTGTGCTGTCGCTGCCTAACCGTAGCGCATCCGTCAAGATCCTCCAGTTCTGTGCCGAGAAGCTTTTGTGCGTAGACTCAAAAAACGACCTCTCCGTCTTCTCTCTCGACACCAAGAAACTGCTAAATGCACACTCGCCTCCTGCGAAAATCACAGCACTCCACAGTGATCCTGCCATCGACTATGCGCTGTTGGGCACGCAGCATGGTGAGGTATTCGCATATGATCTCGATAGAGAGACGCTCACGCCCTTCAAAATACCCAATTTGTGGCGGGAAAAGTTTCCAAGATCCCGATTAACGTCCGTCATCACGCTGTCGCTACACCCTCGAGACATCGGCTCTCTACTGATTGGGTACAATTCTGGCGCAGTCATCTACTCGTTCAAGCAAAACAAGGCCACTCACTTTTTCAACTACCGTGTTCCCAAAGGAGCACCAGGCGGAGACTCAGATCCAGGCTCCGTCTTCAAGGAACGCGAACCTCCACTGACGCAGGCCGTTTGGCATCCAACGGGGACCTTTGTTCTGACTGGACATGAAGACAGCAGTATCGTCATTTGGGATACCAAGGATGGCCGCATTATACAGGCAAGGACACTCACAGATACAAACGTGGACAAGCCAGGCCCAGGGAGTTTCAGCCCGGGTGCAGTGGAGGGGTCTTTCGCACTCAAGTCGCCAATTTTCAAGATCGCATGGTGCGCGAATCAGGACCCTGATGACACTGCCATCCTTGTCGCAGGTGGACAGCCATCGAACATCTCGGCAAAGAGTCTGACTCTATTCGAGTTGGGTCGAACGCCTGTATATGCTACTGCATCATGGCAGATCCTGTCGGCTCATTTTGAGAACCCCAAGAGGCAAAGGATATTGCCATGCCCGCCCGGCACCGAAGTCATCGACCTTTTCCTCATCCCGAGATCTTCGCCGCACTATGCTGGCTGCCACGACCCTATTGCAATAATTGCTTTACTTGCTTCCGGCGAGTTGATCACTCTGTCTTTTCCAAGCGGTATGCCCATCACGCCTACCAACCAACTACACATCTCCATGACGCTTGTCCACCCATATATCAATTACATCAATCTCTCGCCAGTAGAGCGAACCCGATGGCTCGGAATGACCGAAAAGCGAGAAAAAGGCCCTCCATTTTTAACTGGTGGCGCTGAAGCAGTACATCCACTCAAGAGATTCGAGAACCGAAATATTGTCCAGACAGCCCATGCAGATGGTACCGTACGACTGTGGGATGCCGGGCATGCTGACGAGATTGAGAATAGTGCGTTACTTCAGGTTGATGTTGCTCGAGCGGTTGGACGACCAGAGGATGTCTACATCACAAAAACTTCATTCGCAGGTGCTGCCTCCGAGCTTTCGGTTGGGCTGAAGAGTGGTGAAGTGGTAGTGTTCAGATGGAACACGAACAAGCATGCAGGTCAGGAGTATCCACCCGGCGAGAACAAACCTCAGGCGCTCACAGACATTACCGAAAGAAGTGAGGGGTCTGTTAAGGAGGGGCTGTTGCCTCTTACACTGCTCGATGGAGGCAATGGAGCGATCACTGCCTTGAAGCACTCAGATGTAGGCTTTGTTGCTGCCGGTTTTGAAGGGGGAAGCTTTGCTATTATCGATCTCCGAGGGCCAGCAATCATCTTCCAAGCGTCTGTACAAGAGTTCATCAAGTCAGACAAACGTTCTAGTTTCCGGCGCAGCTCAGCTCATGCAGCACCGAAAGCGGAGTGGCCAACTTGTATTGAATTCAGCGTTATGACACTCGAGGACGAAGACTACTCAAGTATCCTGGTGCATGTTGGAACCAACCTTGGCCATCTCGCAACCTTCAAGATACTACCAGAAGCAAATGGTCGATACTCAGCAAAATTCGCAGGCGCGTGCTCGCTAGACGAGAGAGTTCTGAGTATCTGCCCCATACATGCCGACACAGGCCGCCCAGCGTATGCCTCGCAATCTACTGTCGGTGGTCTGAGGACTGGGCTGAAGGTCAACGGCGTACTTTTGGCCGTCACCTGCTCTGAGGCGAGACTGTTCCGCCCTGCTACGAGCAAGGGCGCACACAAAACCTTTGATCAGTTTCTGTGCGATGCCGCGATGGTGGTAAGGTACGAGGAAAATGGGTATGCGCTGCTTGGTCTCTACGGAGATGGCTGTGCAAGAGCCTACTCGATACCAGCCCTGAAGGAAATTGCATCCGTCAATGTCAGTGAATTCCTGGATGTTCGACGGTTTTCAGAGGCGATCATCACAGCCACGGGAGATATCCTTGGATGGAAAGGTCCAGCAGAGTTGGGCCTGATCAATATATTCGGAGCTGGATTCCGATAGTGAGTGATGGTGTCCATAGCTCATGGTTCCCTGTACTAACAGCTTCCAGTGATCGAGCAAAGGATGTCTTGCTCAATCCAGATCTACTCGTCCCACCACGACCAACGATCAGCAACATACAATGGATATCCGGTACCCAATACGTAACACCAGCTGACATGGACCTACTCAGTAAGATATCCTCTACGACTATCCTTGATCAATATCCCGCTAACATCTTCCATAGTTGGTGGCCCCGACCGTCCACTCTCAAACCGACAACTTGCCCAACAACGTGCAGAAGCCGAGCAGGAACGTCGTCGCGACAACGCCTCATCTTCTATGTCACCTGCTGCGCAATACCAACCCTATCCTGGACAGGCCGACGCTCAAGCTGAAGAAGGCTGGGGCGCATGGGCCTCGCGCCAGCTGAATGAGCGCACTGAGAAGCTGAATATCGTCGGTGATAGCATGGATAATCTGTCACAGAACAGTGCGGGCTGGGCTAATGATGTGAACAAATTTGTGGGAAAACAGAAGAGAGGGTTTGTCATGGGGGCTATGAAGAGTAAGTTTGGGTTGTAGCGTGTTTTTTTGTGTCGTGCTTTTGGTACGTAGGGAACTTGACATGCACCATGAAAAAATGTTTTCCTCTTCACAAGCACAGGGGCAGTTGACTCGTGAAATATATGCATTCCCATGCCGTTCTGTCGTTCCATCACCCACCTGCTCCCACCCTCTGCTTCTGCTTCTTCGTCCCCTGCTGTTGCTCATCCTCCTCCATCCACTCCCTCAACCTCCTCACCGTTACCCCAAACTCCCCAAATTCACCCAGTACCATGTTCCTCGTGCACCACATTAACTGTCTCACTATACCCTTCAGACTATCCTGCTTCCTTTTCAACTGCGCATACACTTTACGCACGTTATCAAGCTTTACGTCTTCTTCTGTGAAGACGATGCTAGAGGGCGCGGGGGAGGCAGGCAGGAGTGTGGATGTGGATGTGGACTGCAGCGTCGGTGGCGGAGCGGCATTTACGGAGGATTTGAGGCGCTGGGTTTCGTCGCGGAGGAAGATGTTTTCTGTGCGTAGAAGAGTATTTTTGGATGTGATTTCTTCTTTTTCCGTAGCCAAATGCTTGAGTCGGGTGGTTAGATCTGCGTTCTGCGTGGTGAGATGTTGGACTTGGTTCTTCAGGTCCATTCTTTCTTCTGTGACAACCATTTCTTTGATAAAACTTTGTTGCTCGGCTTTGGTGGTGGTTAGTTGGGATGTCAATCCATCCTTTTCGGTCTGGAGGGTTTTGGCCTTTTCTTGCTCGGCGAGAAGGTCGCGTTGCGCTTTCTCGCCTTGATCTTTGAGTTGCTGGATTCTCGCTTTTGCGTCGTCGAGGACTGCGCGAAGTGGTCGGGTGGATTGTGCTTTATTGGTTTTCTTCTCGGTCTCAGTGTCGCCGTCGGACGATATCATGATGGTGTCTTCATCCCCTTGTACAGCCGCTTTGCTTGCAGTTTTCGACGTACCTTTTCTGCTGCTTTCATTACGCTTCTGCTTGATACTGGCTTTTGTTGCCGCAGTCTTTGTTTTCGCCCTTTTAATCACGGTTACGCCTACAGCTTTGGCTGATTTCTTAGACGCTATCGTTCTCCCTCTAGTCTTATCTAAAGTACCCTTTGCTGCTGATTTCTGCTTCTCGCTTGCGGCAGCTTTTTTAGGTAGCATAGCTCTGCTTTGGAATATGTATGCTGATGTGTCACAAGGAAGTACTTTCTCGTCTCCTGACGATGTATACAGAAGCGGGGGTGCCGGGGGCGTATCTGCGATGGATTCCAAAAGCCTTTGCTCGGTGGAAGTGAGTCCCCTTGCCCAAGACGGTAAGATTGGTGTCGTCCTGTACGCGCGTTGCCGATCGAATAGAAGAATAGCGAAAAGATCAGGATCATCCGATTGCTGCGGACGAGGTGATGCTATAGGTGGTAGTGAGTGGAGATCACGATGACCATTGCTTGGAGACGATTCAGTATCCGGCTCTGCCACTAGGTACCAGGTAAGCTTACTCTGTCGAATGCTGGTGAGCAACCTGGTGATTACAACTGGGACTGCGATGCAATTCCATGGCTTCACTCAGGGCAAGTGCAACTACCTGTTGCACGTATTTTCACAACAGTAAATGTGCTCAAGGGAGTAATATCGCTGGAGGAAGTGGTACTTATACTAGGAGAGGACTGATGCCACGTGCTGCCTTTCACTGCGAACCAGACGTGGACTCGATAGGCGGTGAGTTCGTCGCTCTTCTTATCACTTGTGACCAAGCAAATGGACATTATATCACCCTGCTGCATTCATATAATCAGAAGCCGCTCTTCAAAATCAGTTCTCGCAGACAAAGCAGAGTGCAGCAAGAGCGGGTGCCTAGGTACCAATGGAATGTAGCTGTCACATCTTGCAAGCGAAGAATAGAAGCACTATTGTTGCTTAACACACCATTCACTATACATCGCACGTCACCTGCACGCGCAAAACGTACTCAAATCGATCATGAGCAACAACCTAAGACCGCAAGATCACATGCCACAAACACCAAGATATCCTATTTTATTGTGAAAAAAAAATCAAGACACCTTCCTCTTTCGAAAGATGGTATACCCGAAATTACCACAGTAAAACAATTAAGCAATGCCCGGACACCTCTTTTGTCAAGCTATGTCTTCGTTATACATTAGGTCATGAAAGATAAGAGGAAAGGCATCAAATAAGACAAATCTCGAAGAGTGCTTGACAAGTCTAAAAGAAGAAGAAGGTGTTTAAAAAAAGGATGTACATGCAAAGGAAAAAGGAAAAAAGAAAGATCTACCAAGAGAAAATGCACTAGTACATTTCCTCTTCCCTATCTTTGCCATGAGCGTGACGCATACTTCCAATCACACTGGCACGTCCGCTGCCTCCAACTCGGTTACCCATAGCTGACGCGGTTCTTTGTGGGTGATCGCTATCTTCGTCCCTTCGGTCTCGCTCCTTCTCAAGAGCGGCTCGTAAGTCGGCGTTCTCTTCGACTTTCTGCTCCAACCGCTTCCTGGCACCGCTGCGGTCAAGCAGTCGTGCCTCTCGCTCGGCTTTCAGTCGTCGCTCTAGTTCCTTGAGGCGATGTATCCACTTCTGCTCACTTGGTTGAACGGGTCCAGCAGCGGGGTAGGGGTGGCCAGGCGTCGATGACGAGAGATGCTCCACGACCGAGGCGGACTGCGCACGCAGGAGCGTTTGTGCCATGCTAGCACGCTTATTAGAGGTAGGTGACCCGGCCCTTGACGAAGAACGGCTGAGGATGATATCGTTTCCAGACTGCGTCGTTGTGGTGATGGCGCGAAGGGTCTGAACCTCGGATCGCAAAGTCTTATTCTCAGTCCGGAGCTTGTTCAGTTCGGCTGTGTTGAGATCGACAACACCACCGCGAACAGTGCTAGGTCTTCCAATCGACTGTCGTTGAGCCATGACGAGCTTTTCGAGCTGGTCCAGCCTCTTGACACGAGTTTCGAGAGTGTGTTCAAGAGTCTGGTAGTCTCGAAACAAGTCCTTCTCGATGTTTCGAATCCTTTGCTTGAAGCTGCCAATAATACCCTCGACGGTCCTCACCGCGAAGATGATATTCTTATTAAAGCCCGTAACATTCTTCGAAATGAGCTCCATCGACGTGAGCTCTCCGTTGATAACGGCGTGGTTACGAGACCACTCGGTGCCACAAAGAGTGGATAGTCGGTTCCATAGAGCATAGAGAAGATTGTTGCGCTCAAGTAGCTGTTCCTTGTACTGCTTCTCCAGATTGTGGAGTCTGTGACGGTCTTGGTTACGAAGGTTCTCGAGTTCGACGATCTTTGCTTCTTGCTGCTGAACCGCCCTGGAGGTAGACTGGTGACTGCGCTTTGCATTCTCAAAGGCTGCTTGGTCTTGTCGACGTGCGTGGCGCTCGCGCTCAAGAAGCTCAGACAAGCGACGGCTCTCCATTCCAGTGTTTTCCAAAAGGGTATCACGGTTGCGTAGGAGTCGGTCCTTCTCTGCGAGGTCTGTTTTGACAACATCGAGCTCTTGTGTGGTAGTCTGTAGATCTCGCTGGAGCTTTGTAATATCCTATGCAATTTGTAAGTTGATGAAACGCAACCAAATGATATGGCTCTTCCGTACCTTGAAAAGACTCGCCCTGGTACCGCTGAGGTTACCAAGGGATTCCCGAAGGGTCTGCTCCAGCTCATCGTGTCGTAGCTTCCAGGTCGTAGCATCGACTTCTGCGCCAGAGAGGCTCTTGCGCAGCTTCCTGCTGTCCTCTTTGAGCTTCGTCAGCTGAGCATTAAGATCTGTAATGATCTTTTCCACCTCTTGTTTCTCTTGATTCTCCAAGGCATCACGTTGCTGTCTCTCTTCCACCATGCGCTCCTCAAGGTCTCGTGAACGTTCTCTTGCCTCTTGCAGTGAAACTTGGGTATGGTTGAGAGCGGACTCGAGCTCACCAATCTTGATCTTGTCGCTTTCTTGTTCTTCTCGAAGGAAATCGATTTCACCCTGGCAGGACTCGAGTTGAATGTCTAGTCGCTCATTCTTTGATCTTTCCTCGTTGATGACCTTGTCCTGCCTGTTCAACTCTTCATTGGCGTCGCTAAGTTCAGACTCCAAATTTTGGATCTTGCGTAGACTTGCATCTCGATCGTCCTCGAGCGCCAAGAGGCTTTCGCTAACATTCTTCATTTCCTGCTGCAAAGCATGGAAGTCTTCGGTGATATTCTCCAAATCAGTGAAGAGGCGATCACGCTCGTTTTGTTTCTGCTCAAGCTCGATTTCCAGCCGTTGTACAGTGTCCAAGGCTTCCTGTCTCAGCTCTTCGCATTCTTGTTCCTTGTCTTGGAGCAGCTCCAGCGCCTCGTCACGTTCGCTGGCCAAAGCCTGAAGATCTTCTGTCTGAGCCTCTATCTCCTTTTCCAGTTCCCTTACTTTGTTCTCCGAGGTCTCAAGCATGTCGAGGTGACCGTTCAACTGGTCGTCAAGCTCTTTGTACGACAGTTTCAAGTGCGACAACTCGTCTCGCAGCGCTGCATTCTTGGCTTCGTAGTCATCTCGGTCAGGGTCGCTTGTTTGTGTATTGCGAGTACCACCACTTGCCCGTGACACAGACCGCATGTGGCTACGAGAAACTGAGCGCTCCAGAATGCTATCGCCAGCAGTTGACCCAGCGTCTCCCCTCCTGATAGTAAGCTTCAAGCCCTCGTTTTCTTCTCTTAGCCGAAGATTCTCTCGGTTTCTTGATGTGAGCATGGAAGCTTGTGCATGCAAGTCTCGCTGTAGCTTGTCGTTGTCACTCTGCAGTTGTTCCACAAGAGTGCTACTTGTTCCACCAGCTGACGCTGATGCAGTGGGGTCATTGCCTTCGAAATCATCGTTTGAGCGTCCGTTGAAGGATTGATGGATCCGCCGTGAATTATTGAAATTCTTGTTTATATGGTGAGTCGACATGGAATTTTGTTGCAATTCTTGCACCTGCTCTCTTAGACGCTGAGCTTCTTCGCGAAGTTGATCGGCTTCAGCTTCGGCTTGTTGACAGCGTGTCTCAACTTGCTCGCGTCTGGCTCGCTCATCCTCGAAGTCCTCCTTCCACATGTTGATAGCTTCATCGAAACCGGCGGCTTCTCCGCTTGAACCCTTTTCGCGCATTGCCTTGATGTAGTCGGCCATGCGTCGATTGTCAGCCTCTTTTTGAAGAGCTTCTTGTTGCCACTGATCTACAGTAATCTCAGTTGACTCCAGACGCTCTCGAAGGAATTCTATTTCCTCCTCCAGCTCCGCTTGTCTCGATGACGGTTCGCTTCTGCCATCCTCAGAGCCACTAGTAGCATCTTTGGCATTGGCGGATCCTTCTTCTTGAGCCTTGAGCCTGCGTTCCAGATCCCTGATCTTTTTTCGCATCGACTGACCTTCCTTCTTCTCCGTAGCTAGGTCCGTTTGCAGTTGAACGTTCTTTGAGATCATCTCCTTGACTCCCTCGTCAGATCGGTTCTGGAGCGCCTGGTCAAGGAAGTGGATTTTAAGCTTGAGGTCGAAGTTTTCCTTGCTGAGTTTATCAATCTTGCTGTTTTGCTCCTTGAGTGTCAGGTTGTGCTTGCTGCGTGTGAAGGGAGTAGCCATGTGCCGTTTGTCAGGCGACCGCGAGTGCTTAGCCCGGAAGTCGCGCGCAATGGAATCCGGCACCTGGATATCCTGGACGTGTCTAGCAATGACCGTATCGGTAGGCGCAGCGGGCTGAACGCTGGGAGCACGTGGTGTCTCGGGTGGTGTTGCACTGGGGACTTCTTCTTCTAACCGACCCAGACTATTATCTGGCTGAAGAAAGGCAGATAAAGAATTGGCGCTGATACTCCGGCCCTTGTCCCAAGGGTTAGTGTCACTGTATCCTGACATGGAAGATGCAATGCTACCCAAACTCGGAAGTC